TCCCTTATAGAGATTAATCATTTTTCTTGAGTGACTGTAAACTGTCAGCAAAATATTGTCTATGTCAGCAAATCTTTTTCCTCCTGAGGCTTTGTTTGTGTTAAGCAGAGGAAGAGTTAGCAGGGAGAAACAAAGTTTGGGTTTATAGTGGTACTAAACCTCTGTTGCTGAACGCTTCCCTTGCAAAGCCACACTTTCCTTCCTCCTTCAGCTCCTCCCCACTAGTCAGACGTAATATAGGAAAGGAAAGTTTCCTCCAGCTCACATTCAACTTTTGTGTTTCCAGTACAAGAACCATCATTTCTGGTTAAAATTATTGTCGTTAGTAAAATTGATGGACACCAAATTGTCTGAAAAAGAGTTTACTTTGGGAATCAAATGAAAGAAAGCCAAGAGGGATACGCTACTTGTTGTGCAGTCCTTTGGAAGAAGAGGGGCATGGCCAGATGTAACTGCACTTTGCTATAAGCTGTTATGATGGCGAAAAGGTTTATAAGCTGATGGACTGTGTTTTGTGGTGATAACGAAATGACAAATGAAGATATAAGAAGCGTGCGATATCTAATTGGCGCAGATTTGAGTTCGGATGGAATAACCTGAAGAGCCAGAGGTGTGTTAGGTCGGTCCTCTAGGCTTCTCCCTGGGCACCAGAAGTGTAAGATATTGACTCGTATTTGCCCTGAAAAAAAGTATTGCCCTGATCTCTCAATTTAGCACACGTTAAGGACATACGGGAATTGCTTTTATCCTTGACTGGGGAAGGACAAGTTATTCCAATGTGTCAGGCCTAAGATTCAGCCATGGAGAGCCATTGAAAGCAGAGGAGTTGTCCTGCCTTACAGCAGTATGTCAGAACTGAATCCTAAAAAGGATTGATCTATTTAAATGTAAAATGTGAATAACACTAGGGAAATCAGTGGAGTTCTGCTAGTGAAAACCAGCCTGGGATGCGATTTGTGACTTTATGGATACGTTTATCCTATCACTTCCACGCAACTATATTGGCTTTGCTGAACTCTCTCCTCCTTTATGCACTGTGAAGGCATCACTGCTGAGATAAAGGCTTTTGTGCAGTTTGTAGAAACAGAAACTTCCCAATAGTATAATTTATTTTTCAGTCTAAAAGTCTATGTCAGTGATAGTTACAGATTATAAAGGGGGAAAAAAATAGAATTTCCAGCCTGTGTAAAATCCCAACAGAATATTGACATATTTTGAGATTAGCAACCATAATTTTTAGGGGAAAAGAAACACTTGAGCTCAAAAACTCTTAACCACAGCAACGCTGGCTACAGAAAACGCTGCCTCAGTGAATGTTAACTGTTAAAAGTCAGGGGGACTGAACCTACAGAAAAGTTTATAGTAGCACAGACTTATTACAAGGCATAATTTAAAAAGCGATGGCAATAAATGTACCTGTTCTGAAGAATGTCTGGTCTACGTAAATTCAAACAGGATAGCAGCTTGACAGCCTATCCTAGAAACACTTTCTGAATGCTGTGCCCTTATTTCTGCTGCCAAAATACATATAAAAAACAACTTTCTTCAGCCTACTTTACTTTCCCGAGGTAGCTGCAGTTTAAAAAATAAGGTAAGATAATACATTCCAAGTGAATACCGCTATTTTTTGAAAGTCACCTATTCAGTTTATCGCTCTTTTGAGGTAAGTGAATGGTATTATTCCCATTATACAAAATAAAAGGGAAACAGCTGGTGAAATTGAGGGGTTTGCCCTGGATTAGAATCTCCGTCTTCTGATTCCCAAAATGTGTCAACACTGCAAAGATAAGTAATTCAATGTACGGTGGAGCTAATTAAGCCTGAGATGCAATTCGGTCTACTTCATTTCGGAATGAATGGATGAGTTAATGTCTCCTTACTGTGATCATTTAAAAAGCTAGCTGTCTAGCTTTGTAAATTAACGTTACTAACTTTTTAACTTTTGCAAGTTAGTTGTCTAAGATTGATAAACAATTCTAGGAGGTTCTTCCAGTCCTAAGATACACATCTAGAGGGGCTGAATCATTCTTGGAGGTACCTCTCTTATACTGTTGACTGTAGAAGTAGTCTAGATGACCAGTTGAAATTCAGTTTCTACCTTTGACATGGCTAAAGTTAGTGGTAGAATTCATCTCACCCAATTTATACATAAATATTCTAGGTTGTGGCACCGTATGGAGGGCCTTCAGTGTTATCTCTCTCTGTCCATTTGATAGATAACTAACTGTGGGCCATGGATTTGTAGGTATCAGTTCGGTGCCTAAATAGTTGGGCTGGCTCTGTGGATTTGTGTTATGATGTGGTTGACTGACTTCCCAACTGAATTATTCTCAATTGAAGGAACTCGCTGGTAACAAGAAACTTTGACTGTGGGTTGGCTACAGCATTCATACTGTTCCTTTCTGTTCCTAACCTCTCCACCATAACATACGTTCTCTGATAAAAAATAAAGATTGACCCTTTCTTTTGGAAGAGGCACTAAATGAGACCTCTTTCTTCTCATTAAATGCCTAAGATCTTCATGCTATCATGAACTCTAAGCATCTGTCAGCTTGGCTGAAATTGGCTAAAAGATTCAAAAGTTGTTAGGCAAATACAGACATCCCTGCCCCCTTAGGAAGCAGACTTAAGTGATGTGATCTTAGCTGAAGTCGACTGACCTCAGATAGGTAATCCATGCTAAGAGAAGAATGCGGACGCAGCTATGTTTTAATAAGAAATAAGAGCTTGAATTAAACCTAGACTGGAGCTTTTTCACTGCAGTTTTAGGCCAAATAGTATTCTATTTTGGGCAGTTGAGATGTATCCCCAGTCCTATCCCTTAACAAAATTATTTGCCTTCTCTTTGATCTGCTTCAGCTTCAGTGAGCTGCACTTGAGTGATTCACCAGGACCCATGATCCGAAGCATGCCCTTTTCTCCAGCCACCTTTGAACATCTAATTGCTGGTTAGGACACCTTGTTGATCAGAATGTTTTCAAAACCACAGTATTAGGATGACTGAGTTTGTACAGTTAGTTATTTTGATACAGTATCGTTACCTTTCAGAATCCAATATGAGGTTTATTGCATCAAGTGAGGATATAGGCATCTAAAAGTCCTCACTCAGTCAAAACTCTCATTGATTGCCAAGGGAGTTGTGACTTTGCAAAACAATATCACTGTTCAGTTCCAGATTGGCTTTTTCTCTCTCTGTGTTGTTAGCTAGATAAAATAAAGGTGTGCTAGCAGGCTAGAGATGGGCATCCGTCCTTGTTGCAGAATATCAACCCAATCAGTTTTTTTCACAAAAAGAAAATCAATGATGTGATGCATTAGCAAGAGAGAAAATAAAACATTATGCTGTTTTAGCTCCTAGGAGACTGAGGAATCAACTCGAACTTTCCGAATAGAGAGATAACAAAGATAGGCTTCAAAGTGCAGCTCTGAATCCAGATCGGAACTTCTCCAGGGCACACGGGGACTCTGGCTCATTTCTAAACGACATGCACATTTAAAGGGGAGTCATGTAAAAGTTAACTCTCTTGCCAGAGCTTCAGCAAATATCGGCACATCTGACTGCTTGGATCTCGATTTGTCTCCAGAAGCAAAACGGTGGTGAGGTTACGTTTCTGAAGTCATCACTTAGTGGTCGTTGCTAGAAAATAGGATGTTATTCTAAACAGAAGAGAACAAGCCAGTTTTCTCCCCCAAGGCCTGACACATCTTCTGTAGATGGCGAAATGAGAGTTTGATGTGCTATATATAAGAAGACTAGCAAGTCCACAGGCAGACAGAGACATGATTTTAAATGGGAAACACAGCCCGTTAGCTGTGGTCAGGATCTCCAAAGAGTTAATTCTGGCTCTGCCACTGGTTTGGTATGTGGTATTTAGTAAACAGGCAAACCTTTAAATGGAATATTTGGATAGGATATGGCTACCAAAGAAAATGAAAACATACTAATATGCTGTGGCACTTTGTAGCTGAATCTGAGCTTCCTGAGTCAGGCTATTTTATAATAAGTATCTGCTTGGGCTGCTGAGGAGAATAGTTAATGTTTTCATAACGCTTTCAACATGCAGTGTGAAATGGCAGTACTAAGTTTTAATATTAAAACTATTACATTTGGGGATTCTGTAATAGTTTTCTGCCATCCCATAGAAACATAAGATTTTATGGCATGTTTAAAAATAAAATTACTCTGAGGAAAGACTGCCATTTAAGATCAGATACTTCGAAAAGGATTATGTGCTATGTCTGAGAGTTCCCCCTGAGCTGCTGCTCCCTGCCTGCGCCCTCCATACGCATGCTATTTTTCTGCTCTACAAACGAAACCTTTCTTGTAACTAGAAAGCCTTGTACAGGCAGCTGCTCTGACTTCCCAGTCTGCATGGGAGATTTCAGGGATATCACTGAGCAGATATATTGCATAGTATGTGTGTATACCGTATGTGCCTGCATGTGAGCCTACACGGAAGACTCCTCTACTGCGGTAAGACGTTTCAGGAGTATGACAGCCATTAATGGTGAAGGTTATGAAAGAACATACCTCATAGGCAAATTATTCTGTAAATACCCTCTTAGGGTTTTATAGGAACACATACACACACACTTTTCTCTGAAGTGCTTCCTGCTTGCTCTTCGCCTGCCTCTATCTATTTAGCCTGGAAGCTCTGCTGGGCGAGAAACAGCTCTTCCTGGATCTTTGTATGATATTTGGCACAATACGCTTTCTAACCTGCTGGAAGGTAAGATTAATAAGGAGAATATATTTCCATTCCTACCGTTTTAAAGCCTGAATTACTGGAAGGCAAAGGTAACAATATGGTGCCTCTGCTTTTGACTCCCCTGCCTTATCAATTTTGGACTAGGCTTCAAAGTGAAAATGGAAATGAGCAGCTGATGTTACCAAGCCATTACTTTTTCACTCCTTCACCCTCCTTTTTCACTCTTTTCCGCCTCCAAGCACTTCAATTCAGATGTAGCTGGGACTGAAACTGTATATGTTCTTTCGGCAGGGATGCTACAGAACGGAAAGAAGTTTGATTCCTCCAGAGACCGAAACAAGCCTTTCAGGTTCAAGATTGGCAGGCAAGAAGTCATTAAAGGTTTTGAAGAAGGCGTTACACAGGTACAAAGAAATAATGCTGGCTGAACTTCAAATGGAAATGTTTCAGCTGAAAAGTGTGTAAACGCATCAGTGTTCGGTGCAATGTTGACAAGTTAAGGGCAACCACTGGAAATCACAATGTAGAGTCCTGGGTGGTTTTCTGAAAGCGGGCTCCGTTTGAGCACAGTATTTCCTTTAGTCCTGCAGTGGCTATCCAGGGACACTCCCTACTCATGAGGATTTCCGTGTGGCATGCATTTGGCAGGGGAGAGATTAAGTCCCTTTCCCAGGGGCAGCTGCCACAAATAGACCACGGAAGCATCTGAGATGTTCCAGGTGGCAGCATTTTACCTCTATTTAGCAATGCCATAAAAAGCCAAGCTGCCACTTTTGCTAACACCCATGACTGTGCTACCGAGTTTGACCCTTACTGAGTAGGGTACCAAACTGCGCTGTTTGTTAAACTTTTATGACTTCAGGTGCCCAGCTACTAAATTTAACATTCAGTGATCAACACCAAGACAAGAAGAAGGAAACTGCCCTCCATTAATTACAGTTTGGTACCACCGCAGTAAAATCCTAAAGGAGCCATGCAGTGTAACACATTGCCAGCTCTGTGCCAGTGCAGCCACAAGTGTAAGAGTGAATAAGATCGGGTGCAAATCCCTTGTGACGCCCCATTTCTGAGTCATAGAGCTCAGTGTAGGAGGAAATTGCTCGAGTAGTATTATTAACAAGAACAACTTATGCATAAATAGAAGGAAAGAGTGCAAAATGAGCAGCAATTCAGTGACAAATAATACAACCATGCTTTTCCTGAGCGGAATGGAAGAAAAACCTGGTTTCCAGCCCCATGGTGAAAGCAACACAAGCATTCCCTTCTCTGCAGTCAGAGAAGGAGCGAGTGCATTAGATGAATCCTGGACTCTCTGAAAAGCGTCTGTGTTCCTCTCAATCATTTAGGCTCTGGTCTTTCTTTTTTGCCTTGCAATAACACCTAAGAGAAGTTCAGGACCCCCATGTGCAAAGTACTGTAGAAATGCAGAACTGGTAGTCTGAATAGAGAAACGGGACAAAAGCTTGTGAAAGAGTGAGCAACAAGACAGTTTGCAAATGTCCTGTGAGTACCATGGTTTTTCATGTGCATGTTGGCATGAGAAGACCATGGGCCCTACAAAGAGAAGGAACCTGAAAGCGTGTTTAAGGTCTAAAGGGGGTTAGTTTTATCCCAGTCAGAAGCTAGTGCAGCTAAAACTGCAGCAAACGCTGGGTAAATCAGTGCATCCCTTTCTAGACCCCCTCTCACTCACTGACTCCTGTCCCTCAGGTAGTAAGTGGCCTAAATATATTCAAGGAATCATTCTAGCAGCAAGCTACCCTCCTGCTCCTCCTAGTGGGTGATTTTACTAAGAGTTAAGCATATGGCTCAGGATTTTGAAAGCTTTGAGGAGCATGACTGACACAATGCACTTGCAAAAGGGCAGCTTGTTATAGCCAATATGTAGGGTTTTTTTTTTTTTTTTTCAAACCTTGATTCATTGATTGTCGAATGTCAGCAGCATCTATGGTCCTGTGCTCAACTTTTGACAATTCAGCGTTGCCTCATACCTAGAACCCGTGCATGGTTTAGCAGCTATCATCTTGCTTGCAGGCACCAGTCAGAGCACCAGCTAACCACCTCCACACAAAACACTGCAGAGCGGGGAGGTCCTCTGCTCTTTGACCCTCAGCCCCATAATGGTGTGAATACTCCCTGGATGTGGAAAAGTCATATTCATATTTTTATTCTACCTGATATGACCCGTCTCCCTGCTCTAGCTTTGACATGTTTTATAGGGACTGGAAAATTTTCAGCAGAACATATAGTGTAACGTATAGTCCAGTGCTATGTGTGCTCTTGGGAGAGGGATCTAAGCTAAAAGTGCTGCTTCAAATGGGGTCAGTTCTTGGTCAATAAATATTTAGTCACCAGTCTATGATGAATTAATACCAGTTTGGGCAAGCTCTGTCCCCACGTACTTTGCTAGTAGAGTAGAGATTTGACTGTTGATGAGTCCTTTTCCATCTAGGCTAGTCTGGCTTGAGAGCAGTCAACATATCTACCCATCCCAAGGACAGGGACTCTTTCATGCAATAGGCAGCAAGTACCTGAGGGGAGGCGTCTGCCCCAGCTCTGGCTGACACCAGGGAACTGAGTACCTCTTTTAAGTAGGATTGTGTCAGTGTTTATTGTGCCCAGAAGTAGAAAGTTGGGTGCCTGTAGCATTAGCACTTGAGCAATAGTTTTGACAATGTCCCTGCTGATGTTTGAAGAAGCAGAAAAGTTGCTCAGCGTCTTTCAGACTGAGTCTAACTGCCTTTCTGAACTGCCCTCTGATGAATACAAAGCTCTGGTCCATCTATTACCAAGAGCCTTTTCTATAACGTCTGCTAAAGGCGTTGTTCGTGCTCCGCACTGCAGAAGGGACTCGGCCTCATACAGCTGGCTCCAGCATAAGCGATATGGACCAAGCATGCATTAAAAGGAATCTGTTACTCTAAAAACTGGCTCTAAAGCTGCAGCGAGAAGCCAAAGAAGTCAGGAGACCTGAGTGAGGGCTGTTTGCGGCAGCTTTCAGATTTCTTTAAGAGCTGACCGATAAATCCTGATGGTCCTACCTCTTCTCAAGAGTAAGGTTGCTACGTAGTGAGTTGGTGTTTGTTTTCTTCCTAACACCGTTTCTCCTCTTGTATTTTCCCTTCTCTGACACCCATAAATCAGATGAGCTTAGGACAAAGAGCAAAGTTGACCTGTACACCTGAGATGGCCTACGGAGCCACAGGCCACCCTGGAGTCATCCCTCCCAATGCTACTCTCCTCTTTGATGTGGAGCTTCTCAGGTTAGAGTGAACCTTCTCGAGGGAGTTGGCCGGAGACATCTGTCAATAGTCATCCATTCTTTCTCCCCTTCCCAGCAGTAGAAGTTTTCACTGGAATCCTGATCTTCCCTGTTCAAGCTGTCATGTTAATAGCGCCTGGCCTTAGGCTTAGGTCCTTACGCCTTCTTTCTCTTTTTTTAACTTTGTGGTGTTTCTATTTGCCTTTTATTAGAAGCTTTGTTTTGAGAAAAATGTCTACCGTTGTAACATTTTCAAGTTGTACATTTTATTTAATTTGCATGTAATAAAAGTTCACAGTGACGATTGAGAATATATATAAATATAAATATATATATAATCCTTATTGAAAAACCACTGCCTTACTGTACACTCAAACCAAGAAAAAAAAACAAAAAGGTGCTCAAAAAATCCAGTGTACACCTTGTACATGAACGGGCATTAGCCAAACAGAGTTACCTGCGCTGCCACTTTTCTCAACTTGTACGTTCTGCTTGCTGCTGTTTTGAAAAATACTGTTTCATTTAAAAATTAAAAAGTATATATAAAACAATAAAATCTTGATACTTTACAGTTTCTGTGTTTCCCATTTTTCTGCTTTAAAGTCACTGGCCGTTGGAATTCTTTTTATCAGTGTAAAAGTTCTTCAAACTATCATCAGCCCATTTGCTTGTCAATTATTTCTCTTCTTGTATGAAACATGCATCATGCCGCATACCGCTTCTGTTCTAAATTGCACAGCGGAAGAGCTCTGTGGGACCAAAGGAAACGAGGACCGTGACTGTAGGGGCTGTTGGGACAGACTAGTCCTCCCGACTCTCCACCTCCCCGTCCTCCTGAAGGCCCATCAGCTCTGGCCATATTCTGGCTGCTGAAGAAGTGGAAAATAAGCAGTGTTTCTCAAAGACATTTAGTACTGGTCCAGTTCTACAGCTTTACAACATTGAAACTTGTGTAAAAATTTTCTGCTGGAACTGAGATAGGCTAAAGAGAAGTAGAATTATACGCATTCACCTCACAAAATAAATCGTAACTATGGGAGGACGTGGCTGCTGGAGACGTCTTTTTTTAGGCTGCACTTTCTGGTTCTGTTTGCTTAACTGGTAAATTTAATTTGTACCTAGGCTTATGGCACTTGAGACTGGGCAATATTTATTTCATTCAACAGTTATGTTAATTCACTAAGTGCTCATTCCTCCTTTGTAGGTGCGGAAATGTGTAGAGTCATTTGCCCAGTTTTAGGAGGAGAACCTAACTAAGCAAAGCTGTCTCCATGCTGTTAGTTTGCAATGGCCTAAACTTAATTTCTGGCATACTGAGCTTGTTAAACTGTCTCTTATTACTGAGTTAAATTGCCCTTTTTCTCTTGAGTATAGAAAAATGAACATATCTAGGTATTTTTTTATTTGATTATAAACTGTTTGCATATTTTTCAACTACTGGATTTTTGATAGAAACATACGAGGCAATTGATTCACTGTTTTCTCGTGTGAGTCTATATAAGAAAAATACATCTAGCATGAGGAGGCAGACTGCAAAGCTTCAAGCAAATAGGCAGTGAGATGATACCTCCTAGAGAGCAAATATAAAATGAACACAGAAAATCCAGATTGGCAGTGTGATCACCAGTGACTACAGATCTGGCTTCTTTCTCTAGATAGTCATCTTAGCCACAAAGCAGCATTTTAGCTTGTTAATACATAAATAAATAATCCCATCTCTTACAAGCTATTATCCCCAATGATAGGAATAAACCTTTTTTTTTCTTTTTGGTGGAAATCTATGGTCATTGTAGCAACTAGACTGCGCTTTATCTACGTGTTTCGTTAATAGGTCTGTTATTTAGGATAGAGTAATTTTATGCTATTAAACAATAAATTTCCTGTTAGTAAAGAAGAAATTAGACTCGTCTGATGCCCACAAGCTCTCCCAGCTTCTTTTGAAAGGTCACGATCGCTTTTGCGCTTCCCCACCTCGGGGACTAGCCTTGATTTCAGCACGAGGTTGCACATCGCAGTCTGCGTTGCAGCAGTTTTACACGTGAGCTCCTTTAGACTTTGTGGGTCCGTGTAATGTAGTCCCATCGCTCCCGCCAAACACTGTTTGACTTGGCACACTGTTCTAAAGCCTCTCCTATCATACCCCATTTTAAGCTAGTTGCTCATTTAAAAAAAAAAAAAAAAAGAGGTCTGGTTTGGGAGCTTTCTTGAGCTTCTCTGAAGTGAACAACAATGCAAAGAACTGATTTAGCTTACCTGGAACGACCTCGTTTTCCTTGTACGCCTTCGTTGTCTGTTGATCCCATTGAGGCTCTGGCAAACCTCTGCTGTGTCTAAAGCCATAGCTATGGCATCACTCTACCTGAAAGCTTTTGCTGGGGTCCTTATCAATGGAAAACATCTTCCAGCTGGGCTTTAAGAGCTGATCGTACTCACTCGGTCATTTCCTCTCTATTTGAAGAGCTGCTGTGCACTTACCTTTCCTATTGCCCTCAGCAGTACAGCACTGCTATTACTGAGTCTGTAAAACTCTTATTACGGCTGGTTGATGAAGCTCTCTCCCACACCACCCTTCCTCTTCAGAGGCCTCTGTTGGAAGCAAAGATTATTGTATTTTTCCTGCCGATTTCATTAAAAAAAAAAATCTGAAAGGAAAACTAATTGTGCTTTGTGATGCTTAAGGAAATTAAGTCTTCAAGGAAATGAAGTCTCCAGGTCTTTATGTGACTGCAAATGTGTTAATTTATTTAATTGTATCATCTATCAACACAGTACGTATAATTATTACCACTATATAATAGATTGGAAAAATTTTACTGTCACCGCCTGTATAATTTCTAAACAGTAGAGATGGAAAAAATGACCTTCTAGGCTTAATTTCATGCCCTACTTCCTGAAAAATTAAATGGAACGTGAACACACACACACAAAACCAGCACAGATGTAGAGTACAAGGCTGGTAACATCTGCCTTATGTGCTGCTCCCTCTGCCATTCATATAACTGAACTCATTTCCCTGTCCTTTGATATTACATTTCAAACAAAATCTTGAGCAGACCTCATCAAAATAATCCTCCGGGCATTCGATTTCCATTCCCTCTGTCTTGCAGGTACAAATTATTATTTCATTTTACATGCACAGGGACACTGAAAGCCCTGAACAGGCACTAGAAGCGAAAGTATGAAATGGAATATTTAATGAAAGGCAGCAGCTGAGCTCTCAGAGAAATCAAAAGCTGCTGATCTTGAGGATTCATTGAAGGAATTTTTGTTAATCTTATTACCCCAAAGAATTGCTCTTTCTATATAATTTTTCAAACAGCATCAAATTCCCATCAAAACAGATGCTGTACTGATAGCAGTAGGCTTTCTGCTATTGACAGAAGGAATGAGGTAGCTGCATATGATTTAAAACATTTTAAATAAGGCTGACAGAATGTGACTCAATTATTACCACTTCAGTATTTTATTATCAATATTTATTATTTAGTATTCATTAGAAGCAGCAATCCAGCATGGCAACAAGCACCTCCAGTTCCTATTATGGCTTGAGGCCTTCTAAATGCCCAGCACCTTGTGTGTACACACTGCCCTAGTTATCCTAGTGTGTTTATGTATGCGTATATACATACATATATATGCATGTATGTCTGTAACTTTTAAAAAGCTGTGGATGTTCACAAAGAAGCAATGCCACCTATAAAATTAATTTAACTTAAACATTTTTAAGTCAAACCAGTTTTGCCCAAGAACCTTAGGTTTATATTGATCTGATAGCTGAAGCGTGATAACTAAACTGGCTTAGGAGGGCATAGCTACCGTATAACAATTACAGGGGGTCAGGCTGAAGTTCCTCTGCATTTAACGCATGCGCATTTGTGATAGTTGCACCTGATAGGGGAGACCAGAGATGGCTGGACAAGTCAGAAAGCTGTCCAAAAGGGTAGCAGAGATTTACTTTTATATAGTTCAGAGACAGGACCATGAGTCTTGCCAGCTGCTAAGTGGCTCAGTCTCCCACACCCTGATTGCATGACCCCCTTCCCCTCCCCCAGATGCAGTTTTTTGTTATGATTCCAGAGTGATTTTTCTATTTCTAACATACAGGATGGCTTAAGTCTTACCGTTGCAAAAAGTAGCCTGAATTTGAAGGGAATGACATGGATACGGAGGAGGCACAGAACAGGGACAAGACTTTTTACTCAACGTGCTAAGCCTAACTCTCGCTCTGCTGCAGTCGCACACACAGCATCACAAACGCTCGTCTGCAGCGTAAGACAAAGGAGACAAATCCCAGTGGGACCTCTCCCAAGGCAGGCAATTGGAGAAGATGACAGCACTTTTGTCAGGATTGGGTTTCAACCACCGGCACAGCACTGAAATTACATGATAGCCATTTCAGCAGCCTCCTCCACGCCGCACTCTAGTACAGCCCTCACCCTCCATGCTCCTCAGCTGGGAACCAATGCGCGCAGCACAGGGCAGCTCCCAAGGATCTCTTCTGCTGGAGGACTGGACGCTGATCCCCAGAGCTGTGCCCCTTCCCTCCTCACTCAGGCACTCAACATGAAAGAACATGTGTATACGTACAAGCACATTGGTACACCCACAGTAGGGCAGACTTTATGGTGATGGAGCTCTACAAATTCTTACACAAGTTACAAACATTCAGATGATGAATGACTTTTTTAAAAAAATAAAAGGTTAAATGTAGAAGTAGCACAGCATAAACCAAGCCTTGATTAAAAAGCAGCTATGCAAACACGCATATTTATTGTTTTACTAAATGAACATGAGAACAGCACGTTTGAAGTAGTATTTTCCACAAAAAAAATTAAGGATAAAAATTGGAAGGAATCCATTATGACAATATACCGCACTGGAAAATTTTTAACCTAAATTACAATTCCTCAGGCAAAGTGTACTTGCCTCTGCTCAGGTCCTGCGCTGGCCGGAAGCCGTGTGGTCAGCAAGTTAATCATCAAATCCAAGGTAATAAATCCTCCTCAGCGGCAGGGTAACTATCAACAGTCACACAACTTCTGCTTGGTTCGGAACAGAGGTAGAGCTTACTTTTGACTATTTTCATTAGTTAGGCATAGCGAGTATTACATGTTTTTATTCACCAGACATGACTGCTGGTATTTTTTAAAAGCCTGAAGTTCTAAATCTGTTTTTCCCTCCAGTAGAGGGCACATCTAAAATTCATGTACATGAAATTTATTAAAGTTCAAGAACATCGAGTAGAAAACAATCACCTTACAGGTTTCTAAAATTACAGTCACCATCTACTGTCTTGCTTTGGCTCAGGTGTTCTCTATATTAAATGACATGAAGTTCATTCCCATTGCTTCTGCTAACTTCAGCATAAATCTGATACACGTAATAAAGACTGATTATGACCTGAAGTCAGTTCTGCAGCCATGCACTATTCAAGCAAAATTATTTCCCGAGAGCTATTCTGTCCCAGTGACTTCGAACAAGATGCTCTGACTGAAGTCACCGAAGCAGTTATTTCAAAAGTTATTTATTCATTTTCTATAACTTGCAAAAGAAACTTTGTCATAAACATGGTTTTGGGTTGTCTGTTTCTAGTAAGAAGCAGCCTAACAATGAAATAAGAGTTAAGCTCCTTCAAACATTCCCAGAGGCAGAATGCGGCAGGAACTTCTGTATATTAGTACAGGTACGATGAAGTATCAAACCATACTTATTTGTTAAAAAAAGCAAAAAACAAAACACAAAACACTGTGGGGCAGGGACACTCTTGTTTAGTTGCAACACCTCATTTTTAGTAAGTGTCAAGTGAAATTCACCTTTATGTAGACAGTTCACGCAGAGCCCTTTGAACTAACTCTTCATATTAACTGGTTGCCATATTTATACTCAGCACTGGAGAATGGTGACAATTTCAGCAGGCTGGAATCACTAAGAGTACTTGGTCCCGCCTTGTAAGATCCTGCTATAAACAGGGCTGCGGCTATGCAGCATTTACCAGTTCACCCTTATAACATGTAGAAAACATATCCACTTAAGGGGATTTAATCTTAAAGCAGATCTTGTAATGTTGTTCTTTAATTCTAATGATAAGATCTAAGGACTTGGAGCATATCAACAAAACAAGAAAAGTTATAATTGACTGAGAATCCCTATGTTTAGTTCAAAAATGGCAGGGCTTAAAATCAGTTTTCCAGAGAGAGATCAGTTTATTTTGGTGGGTCTGTATTAATTCCATATTTTTCCTTGAGAAGTTTAAGCTGTTCTTCTTTCTTCTTTGTATCCATCTTTTGGAATGCCTGTAGTTAAAAATAAAAGACATGAGAAAAGTAAAATTATATACATACTATTCCCCAATAACTGCAAATGACTCATCACTATGAACTACACCACTATCACACACAGTGTTGTTTAATTCTCAGCCTTGCAGAATGCCATAGTACACTGGATACTATCAGTGCCAAGCAGAACGTCAAGAACTTTGAGATTTATTTTAACTGTTAAACAAGATCTCATATCCTGCTGCAACTGTAAAATTTTTAAGGTCCCGGCTAGCCCTCCTCGAAGCACACTACTAGAAGCACATTTTTCATATCCGCAGTCCAAATGTACTTTTTGCATACCAGTCAACCAACTGAAAGTGAAATCTCTATCCAATTCCTTCCCTACCAGTTTGGATTTATTTCTTAAAAATATCCAAGCAACTGCCTTTTCAAACTGAAAGAAAATTTTTATTTACGTTAAACTAGGTTCACAGGTAACTTAGGAAAATCAAGCATGCTTACCCTGTTTGCGTTATAGTACAAAACAACAAGGTATCTGTTGCACACGTTGAATCCTGACAGGTGATCACAAGCATTTTTGGCATCAAAGATGTCTTCATAGACTACATATGCTGTTCCTCTTGTTTCAGGAGTGTTCCCACTGCAGAGCAAGATTAGTTTTAACATTAAACAACACAAATATAAAACAGCTGTTAATATTTAGCAATGACGAAGATTAGATCACCTAATGCAACTTTACAAAAAACGACTTTTAATTATTTTTCCTAGAAACGGTCATACATCCTTGCTTCCCACACTGATCTTCCTTTATAATTCAGAGCCAAAAATGAATCAAAACGTAACAGAAACACGTGCCTGTGTTATTAATTCTAAGGAAAATTCATCCCTCCACAGTAAGTACTAGAAGCTGTTGCTGTTAGTGCTTGTCATGTTTCTGGAAATACTTCAACAACTTTCCAGTTGTTCTGGAAATACTAACAGTTGTTTTAACAGCAGGGCCATCAGTTACCGGCTATCTAGATCAGAAGCATGTGCTGTAACTCTAGGAAGGAATACTGTTTTTAGCACATCAAAGTCAATTCAAGAGACTCAAGCTAGCCACACTGGTGCAATACCACTTCGGAAGCACAAGCATCACCTACCAGGCTATCAATTCAATTCTCTTTGCCTGATGGATGTGACACATCTCCAAGCACATAATGCTAAGTACCCTGGAAAGATTACATAGCTTACAAAATCCAAAAGATCTCAAGAAGAAGTTAAGATAGCTATAGTAAACTTGATTATCAGAAAGACTTGATTATCAGAAGAACACCTCTCTCAGGTGGTCATTATGTAGATTTCAAAAAGAGAAATCCTGAAGACAAACAACATAGCGCATGCCCACACTGCGCTAGTCTATGAAAATTAAGAGGCTAGACTGAAAACTGAGCAAATAAAGGACCAAAGTCATTACACAGGGAGCGCCGCACTACAGCTAATCTCACAACAATGCTAGAATTTCTGCAAAAACCACTACAAACCAGTGACCTGACTGTCAGGAAGGCTGCCAGCAGTCAGCTCCCTTGAGAAAGCATATTCCTACAAATCTTGCTGATGGACAGTTCCCCCGATATTCATCCAAAGTCTTGGTGGTTGTTGTCTCAACTTCCTATCTAC